CTTAATAATAGCTTTTGCCACTATTTAGGTCCATGGTAGGAAAAGCTCCCATTAAGCAGCAGTGATGTAATGGTAGGAGTGACAAACTGACAATGTGGAGAGCCAGGTTCAAATAATCTCTCAGTCATGAAGGCTACTGGGTGACCCTGGATCAATCAGATTCAATTAAGCTAACCAATATTGCAAGATGATAAAATTAACACCATGGAGATCATATAAATGTTAAAATGGTTTGAGTGCTGGGCTAGGATTCTGAGACTAGGGCTTAAAGGAAACCCACTGGGTAACCTTGGGCAAGTCATACTCTCTCAGCCTTAAAGGAAGGCTATGGTAAACCTTCTCTGAACTAAAGTTCTCCTTAGCATTGCCATAAATTGGACATAAGATACAACAACAACAATGCCCATATAGAACAAGGGTGATAATGTGTGCTCTCCTCAGCTGCTGTTGGCTGCAGCTCCCATTTCCTCAAACCACTAGCTTCCAAAAGGACAGAAGATGGGTTTGGTAGTCCAGCAACATCTGGAGGGCTGCACCCTTCCCAATCCCAATGTAAAACCATGCCCACTGGTCTGAGTTCCCTGAAGGGTGAGATAAACATTCAATACTCTCAAAGGCTAATTTTAAAAATAGTATTCCTTTCCCAGGCTTACCTACCTTACCCATGCATTTTTATCACAAAATGGGATAAACCCATATAGTCACTCTTCTTTGGAGAGTTAGATTTAACTCTGGTGGATTAGATGTATTACATGGAAATTGACAGCAAAATGTCACCAAAGCAAAATCCAAAATGAATTTGTAAGTTTCTTTTCAGGAGAAACTTCCCTCCCAGTCCTCCCAAATTCGGTGGTTCCCTTGGATGTGCCAGATTATAACTATCATCTCCTCCAGCCAAGATGGCCAGTGAGTTGGGAATGATGGGAGCTGTAGTTAAGCACGTGTGGGGAGCGCTAGGTTGTGAAAAGGTGTTTCTAAAGAATTTCAAGGGAAAACAAATACTTGCCAATATAATTAGTAAAATATATATTTGGGGAAAGGGTTCCCTCCTCCACAAAATACATTTGCACAAAGGGGAATCCTAGTCTCCCAGTGATAAAAGGGCAAGCCATGGTCATGAGGAAGACTGCCAAGGGAAACCATTTTTATTAATACTTTAATCTCACCTTTCCACCCATGGAGCTCAGGGTGGCACTCAGTGTTTTGCCTACCACCTTTCACCATCCCAACTTTGTGAAGTGGGTCTGGCTTAGAGAATGTAACAGGCACAGAGGTCAGCCTGTAAATGTTATGGATGCAGGAGGGAAGCACAATTTGATCCAGGGATCTCCCTAACACAAGCCACCATGCCACATTGCCTCCTCCATATTCATCTTAAGAAGGGGGATTTTCCCCACTTATTAGTGTAACATTGAGGGAAATGGAAGAATTGTTCTTCTTCTACCACCACCACCACCACGGTTTCCTTATGCTGAGCCCTACCACTCAGTGGTGTCACTGTATAACTGTTGCTCTCTCTCTCTCTCTCACACACACACACACCAGAGGTAACAAAAATAGCACAAATGCAACATACATTCTAGGACATGACCCTTCTGCAGCAATTGCACCCATATGCTAAATTAACTTTCACCCATTAGCACAATGCTCAGACCAGATCTAACCCACGTCTCTCCCCCCATGTTCCAATTGCACAGTAACTGCACACCCTCCCTCCAGCGATCACTGTACCATGTTCATTTGTGGCGGGGAATACAATCGCACAGCAACGTCACCATCTGGGATCACATTAAACACTAGTGTTTTTTTTGGAGGCGGGGGGAGAGGTTGTTGTAGAGAGGTGGCAGCAGATGGGGAGAGAAGGTGTTCACTGTATATGCAAATCTATTTTTCACTTAAGACCTCCCCTTCTGTCTTTTAGATAGATGTGCACAACCAGTAAGATAACACAAAGGGAGGTAGTTTGGAAATGGCTCCTGGGCATAAGGGTTTTAAGAAAACAAAGCAAAACAAGCAAATCATAATGCCAGCCTGAACATAGACAAAGGTCGTTTCAAAAATGTATATTTGCGTGTTAGCACGCGCACACGCACACACACACACACGCGCACACATACACACACACACGTTGAGAATCCAAATACCCATCAATGTTACAGAATTCACTCACATACACAAAAGATATCCTCTCACAAAGGACTATGAGCCGACAATGAATGAGAAATGTGCAAACATTAAATTCACTGAAACACATGCACATAATTAACTAACACACACACACACACACATGTATGCACACCAGTCTGTGAACACAGCAAAACCACCCTTATTTTTTAGGCACCATCTAAAATAACAGGACATGCTAACACATACTTTCCTCATCCTGTTGCCCTCTAGATGTGTCAGATCACATCTCCCATCACTCCCACCAGGTATCGAACACTTCTGGAGGACACTTGGGGAAGGTTGCTTAAAGGAACCACCCATAAATCTCTCTCTCTCTCTTTCTCTCTCTCTCTCTCTCTTTCTTACACACACACACTACACAAAACAAGGCTAGGAATGGAGAGGGAAATTAAAATAATCCCACCTATGGCATCATATAGAATCATATACAGGTATACAATATGCTAAAGCAAGGTAGAGAAACAACAGCTAATAGAGACTGCATATAAAACTACAGGAAGCCAAACAGATAGACTTACACGTACTCTGCACAAAAATCATTCTGAAAGACCAGTGTTAAAAGAGCTGACAAAAATAATCTCTCTCTCGCTCTCTCTCTCTCTCTCACACACACACACACACACACACCCCAGTGAAGAAAATCACACATATCATAAGCAGATGCACCACATCATAATGCAACCCCCCCCCCCGGAAACGTGTTAAAGACACCATATTCTCTAATACTGTATCCTATATTGCAAGCAATTCAATGAGCATCACATCCTAGTGCAACATTATAAATGTGCTAAAGAAATAGGACCAAAGCACCAGAAGAAATCACTGTCATACACAGGGCAGTCTTTGAAATCACAACACTCAGCCATGCTTACTAATGAAGTCCACAGAGAAAGGTGCTAAAGGAACTGACATGCAACACTATCCCCCCCCCCCCAGCTCTGTACGCTGTCGTACACAATGCATAAAATGTGCAATTCTGGCTGAAACAGGACACAGGAAAGGCGTTAAAGGAATACATTCCTATGACAAGAAATCATATACTGTATGCCTTACGCAAACTGACCATCCACCATCAAGACAGGGAAAGTGTTCCAAGGCACTAACCCACATAGCACAATAGAAAAAAGATATCGAGAAGGCAGTTACATACCGTCCTCTCTCAATCTCTCTCTCACACACATGCACACATATGTATGAGTATGCACACATACCCACATGCATTCATGCAAAAGCCAGAGAAATTTGCAGAAGAAAACTAAAGCATGCATGCTTACTAGCTGCAATGGGGATGCTAGGCACACATACAGTGTCTTAGAGAAGCTGTCATTCAGTGCCTTGCATAGACCGTATACACATAGCCGGTCTTTGTACTAGTAGGAGAGAGAAAGTTACCACCTGCACAGACCCCACGCTTCTAGGATGGAGGGGTGATGATGCCAGCAAAAAAAAAAAAAAAAAAAAATGATTCCCTGTATGCTACAACATCCACTATTAGAGTTTCATGGAAGTGGTAGCAGGGAAGCCACATTACAGGCTTGCTATGGCCAAGGGATTGGAAGGCAGAGCCAATATGTCATTTCTGTACCCAGCAGAACCCAACCCCTTCAAAGGGAATCTAAAGGAATTTCTCTAAGCCGAAGGACGAAGCCTCTGCAAAACACACATAAGTGCCACCCTATTCACTCATCCTATACCAAAGTCCACCATCTCGGCACACAGGCCAAAGGTGTTCAACAAAACATACCAATAGCCCTTACATTTCAATACCGCTGGACACTCTCCAAGTGGTTTACAATGTGTTAGCCACATTGAAATAACCAATAAAAGATTCGGGGGTCCCACAGATGGATCCCAGCCAGCCCAAGAACCCCACAAAGCA